ATTTTGGCAGTAAAGGATGCATGGCCGTCGCTACGTAAGGGCAGGGGGCTCGAGCCTCCCCCCCCCCCACCCCTCCTAAACTTTGAAGTTTACCTTATATGTAGGTATACAATCTTCGATTATTACCGCAGCGACCACAAAAATGCAGTTGCCAATATAGGAACTCAGTTTGCAGTTGCCATCTGTAAAACGATTTCAGCCAGTGGCCACCCAACTGAAGTTCGGTTGCCATAAGCCTAAGTCGTCTCAGCTCGATGTTCTGGTCACATACACAAGTACACATTTTCATGAGTCTATCCTTTCTTATTTTGGTACTTACAAATATCGGACCAAAGTTATAATATCATTTCATGCTCATGAAAGGTATAGTTTTCAGATTTCAAATCGGTGAAGCAGGTAACAAAATATAAATTTAAACATTTTCTTAACTTCTTCCCAGCGTATCTATTAAAATGTCATTTTCATGGCATTGCCATGCCATGTCATTCCATCTCAAACATACTGTTATAGCATGTTATTGCTTCTTAGCTCAGCTGTTGTTTGCTGTTGTTTATGCATCATATTTTTAATACTGTTTAATCCTGCCTTGTATGAAAATGTATGTATATAGCAGAGGTAGGCAAGGCCGAGGCCGAAAAGAGCCACGTCTAAGTTCTAAATGCTACAAGGAGCCACAAAAAAAGAACAAGAAAAACAAAAAAAATATTTTTAAATAAAATTATTATTAGAAATGAAAAACATTAATTTTATTATTATTCTATTGTACGTAAGATAGATATACAAAAAAATTCAAAAGATCCCTTTGGCGAGATTTTCGGAATCTGGTTTTAGGTTAAATGTTGGAAGTCAATAGGTACGTTTGTTTAAAACCTCCAGTAAAAAATGTCCAACAGCGAAATTCCGGCGAAATAACATCTGTTCTCTCACAAGAGAAAATTATCCAAAATAGTACGTGACCAGAAAATTTGCAGAAACTTGAAAGTTAGACGAACAGCTGATAGAAATTTTGTTTACATTAACAAGTCTATTCTGCACGTTACCGAAGATTTTGTGACCGGAAAATTTTATTACCAAAAACTGTTTCCAGTTCTTGTCACTGCGATTCTAGGTACGTTGCAAATGCAGTGAAAATATTCAGCAACTCAGCTATGAAGATTTGTGGAAATTCCTGTATTGCGCGGCAATATTTTGTTACCAGCTTATGAGATGGTAACCAAATTTACCGGTTACAAGAAAGCACAGAATGCGAAAAAGGTTTAAAAATTTACAGACACTTTAATTACCGGTTATAAAATGTATGTTACCAGCGCAGAATAGACCTGTAAAAAGTATAAAATTGAAAACGTAAGAAAACAAATCCTTGATTCTTATCCTGACACAGTTGCCTGACTAAACGAATAATTACTTATTTCTTACAAGTTTAATTAGTCGCATTTTACTATTCCAACTTCCAAACCATCAAATTCAATTTAGGGATTTGCGTAAATTCCAACCAGCTCTTCTTGATCAGCTGTTTTCTTGTTGGCAAATTGCTGTGAGCTAAAATATGTATTTATATGTATAATATGCATGTACGTAAAATATGTATGTATATGTGTAATATGTATGAAATATGTATTTTAAAAAGTAAAAAGAGCAAAAATGTTCTAAGCAAGGAGAAAGTAAAAAGAGCCGCACTTTGCTAAGTAAAGAGCCGCATTTGGCTCAAAGAGCCACGTTTCCCCACCGTTGGTATATAAATTTTTAATTAGATAATTGTTTAATAAATTTTACTATAGTAGGAGCTTGCAAAATTCGGAAAATCTCTTCCCGTATATACAATGTAAATAATAATGCTGAATATGTCGCATGTGTTTCTTTTTTTGACATGCATAAATTTGATGCATGATTTGATTTGAATTTATTCGGCAATGCCTTCATATATCACTTTCAAACATGTATAAGTACGGTGATTCAAAATGAAGGACAATTTTTCAAACATATGCCTACATATATTTACGTAGTATAAAAATATTGAATGAGTATTTATGATTCTAAATTCTTAATACATTTTAAACTTTAAAAATGAATCACGTTTTCTTCATCGATATTAATCTTTTTTACATGAATATTTATAAAAGTATAGTAAAACATATTATAATTGCAATAGCTTACACGAAAAGTGATTATCTTTAAAAGATTATTTTATAGGCAAATTTTGAGTCGTTCAAAACGAAAACAATACCCTTTTTTCTGGTACTTTTAGCAGTTATTTGTCAAAAATCGATGTCATGAATCGACGTAAACGACGAGTTACAAAGTGCCCTTTACAAAAATATATAATTTGTGCAGATTGCGCTCCATAGCATCTACATTTCTAATCCGATTTTCATTATCTTTGGCTCAAAATTTACTGTAATGATATATCTTCTTTATCGAATTTTTAAAATAATGAAAAAATAATCAAATTAAACTGCGTATTTGATTGCAAATCTCACTTTTTTCGACTTTGGGCGTGTGTGAATCGGTAACAGAGTTCTATGGGGAAAGCTGTTGAATAATACTTTTAGTATGGTGAGACAGTTTTGCCAATCTGCTGTGTGAAATTAAATATTTTTTGACAACAGTAAATTTTTGATAACCGCAGCTTTATGCGGAATAAAATATTACAAATTGAAGTGAAATTAATATTTTAAGAAAACATCTACCATCGTTGATTGCAATTCATCAATTTAAGCTTTTATATAACGAAAAATTACACACATCAACAATCTTTGCGAATGTCAAAATTTTCTATGCATTTGTCAAAAATTTCACTAGCCTCATGAGCTACTGAAATTTTGTTCACCTCATAGTTACCAAAAATTTACTCGCCGCGAACTTTGTTACCGATTCACACACGCTCTTTGACGACAAAATGCAAATGGTCGCCTGTAGCACTAATAATTTTCATTGAAGTTGCCACAAGTTATATATTTTGGTAAGAGGCACATCAATACCCTTCGAGCTGTAAGTCGCTTACGTTGATTGGGAGATCTTTTCATGAGATATTAGCTGAATTTTTTTGTAAACGAGCGACAAAAGAACGCTCAACTCGGGTAACATTTCCTTTTAGGTACTTAAGCAACCCTGCCGGTAGCTGGCAAGAAACATGTGATTAGGTCAACGGGATGTAGACACAAAAGACAATAGAAATTAGTAATTATGCGAGGTATTTGCGTAATATATTTACTTATTTAAAATATATATCATGTATATACGAAAATAAAAATTTCCCCCTCCACTTTCCCACTAACAATTCACAATAGCGCAGTTTTTTCACTTAACAACACTACTCTTCAGGTCGCGTATGTTTTAACCGAGCTGGCTGAACTCGGATAAATAGCCGAGTTTGTGTTGTTGCTTTGCGGGTATTTCGTTATTTAAGCGAGTGTTCTTTTGTAGCTCGGTTGCAAAAGAATGGGCCTATTGAAGAAAAGCTACGAAAAGTACCAAAAAGCACTTTTTTGAAAAAATGCATCCAGTGTCCGATAATTTTAAAATAACGAATAAAATGCGGGCCAAATGCAGGACACTTGGAAAAAATCAGTACATTTTCAGGTTTTTCAGGTTTGAAAAACTACGCAGGACCGACCTTTGAAAAAAAGTACGGTCCTGCAAAAAACAGAACGGATGGTCACCGTATGTATAAGCGACATGATATAAACTGGCACTTGCATGATGTGTTACATGTCGCTATGGTTTGTAGTTCAGGCTTTTAGTATCTATATATAATTGCTCAGTCATACGACTTAGTTAGGCCGATCTGTAGCAGCCACAGAATTGAGCTATATATCAAACTAAAGTGCAAGCCGGAGTTGCAGTTGACCGTATTTGTCAAAAAAGTAAAAAGCGGCAGAAAAGTCGATAGTGAGAGATATAATCTATTGAAAAATATTAACCATATTTCCGTGGAATTGAGATTCGGAAAAGTTATTAGGTATTATTCATAGTTTTGAAATATATTTCACGAAAGCAAAAAATAAAAATAGCTGAGATCCTTTTCTTTTTTAAACACCTAGGATATCACTGACCATTAAAAAGGACCCTGAATGACCGCAAACCTCAAAGCATTACACATTTTTGTATGTGCTTTTTAAAATGAACGATCCAAAATTAGCCGGTATACATATTTAAAATTTTTTAGAACCATTGGTTGAATTTTTGTACTGAAAGGGTTAACCCTAAAAGTATAATCTACGTCTGCGAGGCGTATACGGATTTTTTTTTAATTTTTTCACAAATTTTACTTTTTATTTTGTTGTTTTAAATAAATGTGGTTATAGTTATTATTAATAAAACTATGTTTTATTATTAGTCAAACTCACAACTTCAATATTCTTTAAAAAATAAGGCAGGACTAAGTATATTTTAACTCACAGGTTATCTTTTAAGCACATAAGCCTCTACGGCGTATGTTAAGGCTTTACGTTACTCCCAAATAGATTAGGCTTCTAGGGTTCAGAAAGCTTTAGTTTTAAAGTGTGATATTAAATGCTTTCCACCATAAACGGCGCCAATTTTCAATGATTATTGCGTTTCAAATTAAGACTAATACCAGATATTGTGAAAGGTTGGACTATACCTTAAAGATGACGGTTTCCTCATGGCCCACTGCACGAAGCTTAGGGTAGAGTAATGTCTTTTAAGAACTAAAAATTACAAGATTAATTGTTGTCTTTCACGAACTTCTTTAAATAAATTTTGAGCTAAGTACTCACCCGTATTTCGGAGGTTACTACTAGTTTTAATAAATTGTTAGTTTAATTTCCTATAAAATGTGCCTTTAGGTTTATGTATTTTAAGAATACATCGAAAATTTGTTTTAGAGAATCAATGTGAAATAATTGCAGAAACGATTAACCGGTTTGCTGAGCAACCGAGACGTCTGCTTTTTAAATAATTTTTGTAAAACAAATCGGCAAGTACATATCGTCCCCCGCATGCCAGAAACATGAATGTATAAAGATGAAAATTTTGGGGTTTTTTAATATGTCGGGCCCCGTCCCCCCTAAATTCGATCCTGGCGACGCCCATGGACCCACTGCACGGAAGTCCACGGTGCTCCGTCTCGGGACCGAGCGGAACAGGTCAGGCTAGGCGATAGCGCTGATCAGGCTGGCGTCAGTGGCGAGAGCGCGAAACCTCCCGCAGTCTCCTCTACCCTGGCGGTGTCTCAGCCGCCAAAGGCAGGCAAAGGTAAAACCACCCATGCCCGCTCTACTAAACTGGCGTCGACACGTACACCCAAGGTAACACTTCCCATGCCCGCCCAACCAACACTGGCAAGGGTCCACACTCGACTCGCCGCTTACATGGGACGAAGTGGATGAGGAAGAGTAACCAGCCGGACGACTCGAAAAATTAATAATTGTAGTAAGGTGCATCCAAATAAACTTACAAACATGCCAAAGGCGGCTTCAGCGGTCCTGGTACAGACGTTTTATGAGGATAACCTTGACATCGCCTTTATCCAGGAGCCGTACATTTATGGGAACCAGATAACGGGACTACCAGGTAAGTTATTCTATGACTCCTTCAACGAAGGACGGCCTAGAGCCGGCCTGATGATAGCTAATCATATCAACGCCTTTCTCATTCCAGAATTTACCAATAAGGACCAGATTGCAGTGAAGGTGAACCTATCTCTCGGAGAAAACACGCAAGAGCTAAACATTTGCTCAGCGTACCTCCCCGGCAACTCCAGAGATTACGAGTCTCTGCCACTACAGGGACTAGTGGACTATTGTGGCAGACAGAAACTGCAACTCATCGTGGGATGTGACGCTAATGCCCACAATACCATATGGGGCAGCAGTAACATAAATCAAAGAGGTGAGTACTTACTTGAATTTATTAGCCTTAATAGGTTAGAAATTTTAAACGTAGGTAACTGCCCCACTTTCAGGAACAGTATACGGGAAGAGGTTCTAGATCTCACTCTATCCTCTCCTTTTATCACTAATTTCGTCAACAAATGGAAAGTGGCCAGAGAAATTTCTTTATCAGATCACATGCACATCCGTTTTGAAATTGAAATCACATTACCAACTGCTACCACCTACAGAAGACCAAGAACCACAGATTGGAATCTATACGATGCACTTCCGTAGGACGGTCTGAAAAGATGCAAGCGAAAGGTAAATGACTTAGTCGATCTTAAACTTAGCTGCTCAGATCTGACATCAGCCATTGTGAATTTCTACTATGAATCCTGTCCAGAAGTCACTAGGCTTAACAACAGACAGACTCCATGGTGGAATAACAAATTCGCCAAACTTAGGGCAAATACCCGGAAGCTCTTTAACAGAGCTAAACGAACTGGTGAATGGGAAACGTATAAAATTGCCCTCACCGAGTACAATAAAGAGATTAGATGTGCTAAGAGGAACTCATGGACTCTTTTCTGTACAAGGATCAAGGACCTTACGGGAAGCGCAAGAATCCACAGAGTCCTCGCAAAGACGCACACTAATGAGTTAGGGCTCCTGAAAAGACCCGATGGATCCTTCGCGAACAACTTGCTAGCCGTGGTTCATTTTCCTGACTGTTTGCCACTGAACACAACCAGAACAATCCACACGCAGACTGGAATAAAACGCCCACGCGCAGAGGATTGGAGAATCGCCAAAGGTCTGTTCGACGAGGATAGAATAAGATGGGCTATATCTGCCTCAGCGCCTTTTAAAGCACCTGGAGCAGATGGCATTTTCCCAGCTCATCTCCAAAAGGGACTGCCCCGCCACTACCCTTCCTGATACCAATTTTCAGAGCATGTTTCGCGTGGGGTCCCTTCCACTACAATGGCAGGAAGTGACGGTCCGCTACATCCCAAAGGTGAGGGGAAAACCAGCAGACCAACCAAAGTCATATCTTCTACTACTCTATTGTTACAGGCTTTCTTACTGCCCACTGTAGGGTAATGAAACACTTGTCAAATATAGGAGTTGTCAACTCTGACCAGTGCAGGTTGTGTAATGAAGAACAGGAAACAGCAGAGCACATTATGTGCCACTGTGAAGCCCTTACCAGAACCAGACTTCGCTTCCTAGGATCACCGTACCTAGAAGCACACGACCTGAATGGCATTCAGCCAAAGGACCTCGCGAGGTCTCTTAACAGTACGTGGATCAAAGATGACCTGTAGTTGAATAGAGGTTTGTTACAATAGATCGTTTCGGTCGCGGTAACTAGGTGACCTGTTCCCTCCTCTAAATCTAATCTAATCTACTTTATATATGTATATATTTGAAATGTAATAGAAATTCTTAATTCGAAACTGAACATACTCACTATCCTTATATATATAAGTTAAGGACTGAAGGTCCTGAATATATAAAAAAATTAAAGGACCAACTTGCCCTGGAATTGAAATATATAATTTGAACGTTATAATATAAGCTCTTATTAACATAAATAAATAAGCCTAATTTACAATAGTAACACCCCGATGCAACTGCCGCTGCTCCGAGTTCTGCCGCCCTTTATAGCCTGTTCCGCTGCCGTTGTTCTATAGCCAGGCATACGCGACGTCAGTGAGCCGCCTTGGCCTTGAATTCCCACAGGTAACTTGGAATATGCAACACACTCATTTCACAACCGTGTGAAATGAAATTATGCTGACACCGCTGTAATGCCTAATGCATTGGCTCCGAGGTACTAACTGTGGCCGACGGTTCCCATAGGTGTCTGATAGCGTTGCGCAATATTGCTATTGCATGTTATGGTGAAATGCACTTGGCCTTGACAAAGGTGTAGGATGTCAATTATATTGTGAACCATAATTATGCTGACATGGCGCACGTGTATTGCTGGACTGTGTTAATGCAACATGTTGGGTGACGGCGGATGTGTTAACTTATATATATATATATAAATATATATTTAAAATTGTACTAGAATTCCTGTTTTCATAATTGAACGTGCCGAATTGTAAAATATGTTTTTTGTTTCCGAATGTGAGCTCTCGGCACCCGTACACCGGTATATGGGGCACTCGCAATCGAATCGTCGACTAGACAAGTTATTATTTTCCATGGTGGAATAAGAGAAGGTGATATCAGTATGAACTCACCAAATAGTAGACTGCTTTAATTGTGGCATGCATTTTAAAAGTATTAGAAAGGGGTAAAAATAAGTGCAAGTTTGAAAATAGTATTAAAGTTGTCTGAAAAAATTTCGCCAATAAAATGTCTTATGTTTTTAACCAATTAATATTTCTACGTGACAAATTAATAACAGCTTAATTTGACTAACGATGTTAGAAATTTCACCAAAAAAGGAAGGGGGCATATTTTTCTTTTTGAAAAAAATAATAATTTTAAACATAATACTACTAAATAAGTACTACCTCAGAGACCGTTGGCTTTTGTACGACACAACACAAGGTCAGAGAAAGAGACGTATAACCGGCGGAGCGGCACAGGGGTCTGTACTTGGCCCGGACCTCTGGAACGCCACGTATGACAGTCTGTTGCGCACGGAAATGCCGGAGAGCGCCTTCCTTGTCGCCTTCGCGGACGCCGTGGCAGCCGTCATAACAGCAAGAAATGTCCAGCTAGCACAGCTCAAGCTAAACCAGGTCATGCGCAACGTCAGTGGATGGATGAGCGATCACGGTCTGCAATTGGCTACAGCCAAAACGGAGATCGTGCTCCTCACCAGGAAACGGATCCCAACAATTATAAATATGATGGTCGGACCTCACTAGGTCTACAAAATACCTAGGGGTGAAGCTTGACAGCAAACTCACATTCTGGGAACACATACATGGAGTATGTGAAAAAGCTGCGCAGAGCACGGCGGCTCTAAGCCGGCTGATGGCGAACGTGGGCGGCCCGAAGCCATGCTGCAGGAAGCTTCTGATGATAGCGGTCCAATCGGTGCTCCTGTACGGGGCAGAAATATGGGCTGACGCATTGAAAGTCAAAAAATACCGGATTCAAATGTCTTCGGTACAGCGCAGAGGGGCACTACGCATTGCTTCTGCATACCGTACAGTGTCCGCGGATGCGGTTCTAGTTATTTCTGGCGTCATGCCAATTGAGCTACTTGCTTACGAGCGAAAAGAGATTTACAATCTCAGTGCTGAGATAGGTCGAGCAGCTGCCGCGGCAAGGGCGCGCGAGCAACTGATCCAGCAGTGGCAATAAAACTGGAACGCGAGC